TAATAATGATACTTCTTCTTCTTCTTCTTCTTCTTCTTCTTCTTCTTCTTCTTCTTCTTATTATTATTATTATTATTATTGCTGTTGTTACTTTGTTTACCCAAGTCTAGCCCCAAATGTTTATAGTAAAGAAATAAAGAAACGTAGCTGGAAATTCTAGCAGTCAAGAGTCACCGTTTTGTCTCTTTATTTTGCCCTCCGTGCGCTCTGTCCCTCTCTCCCTCCCTCTCTCTCTCTGTGTATTTACTAGAGACGCACATGACTATGAGCTGCAGAGTCTTGTGCAAAAACTGAGAGATCACTGAATCAGTTAGTAGCAAGTTCATGAAAATCACCCTTTTTTCAAGGAAATAATCCATGACTTTTCTTCCTGCAGGCCATGAGAATGCTTTCACACCATTCCTTTGCAATCGTCTTTGAATCCAAATAATGTATAGGGTATGTTTTTTATCAAACTACATACTTGTGTATTTCAAGCACTTATTTCTCCCTGCCTCCTCCATGTTTTTCCCCAACTACAATTTGAAAATACAATCCCAAAAAATAAGCAACAATCTTTTGGGTATTAGACAATAAATTATGCTAACTAAATCATGTTCAGTTTAACTTCTTCAAATCAGAAGTCTGGAATTGGGTGGTAGGAATGAGGAACTCTTTCATTCCACAATACTGTACATGCTTCACTCACTAAAAGTTAGCTCCTGAATTCTAGTCCAGCTTGCATTGTGATTTGCTGTTACCACCAGGCAGTCATTTCAACTATTTCCCCCCTTTTCCTCCTATCAGTTTAACATTAGGGATGGAGCCAGGACAAGCTTTCCTGGCCTCTCTTACTGTAGAATTTTTTACTAGGTTAAAAATTTTTTTCCCGCTCTACATCTCAGAATTTAATTTATTTAAGCTGGAGGGGAAAAGAGAAGGAAAAGCTTAGAACACTATATTAAATTAAATGAGCCAGTGTAGTGTAGGTAAGTGATATAAAATAACAATTGGTTAATTTAACAATCCACACTGTTTCAGAGTCATCGGACCACTACATTTACATCATTACCAAGTCTCAAAGTTGGACTACTGTACCTTTAATCTGTACTTATGGGCAATATCCAAAATTGTAGGCACCAGACCATCGGCTGGTTCTCCATTTTCATCAGCCATACCAGGGGGGTACCAGGAAAGAGCCAATACACCTAAAGAAAAAAAATATGTATATTATGACCATCTTAAACTGGATGTCTAATTAAAACACAATTCACTTTGAGTCAAACCCAGTCCCTAGAGCTAGTTCCCTGGTGAGATTAGGATGGGACAGAGGTGCCCCTCTGCTCTGAAGGAAGTGGTTCCATGAACACTAATCTATATGCAGAAAGTTTGATAGCTAGAAAAGCCTACCAAGCAGGGCATTCTGAGGACACTGCACCATGAATCATGAGTGCTCTATATCCACCTGTAGCTCACAGCATGAAACCTCTCCTCTTTTGCTCTGGTTGATGGGAACTGGCATAGCTTGGGAATGGCGGTGGAGACATTGCTGTGCTTCACAAATTGGATTGTTACATTGGCTGGTTCTTTGCGATTAAGCACAAGCCTTAAATAATATGTTTGCCCCCAAGAGAATACCAAGATTCTCTGTTCATACAATTGTTGGCTTGGACTTTAGTGCACAACGGAGAGCAGAACAAAAGGACCACATGGCTACTTTCAGATTGCTCTCAAAATTCTCTGATGTGTTAAGAATTATGCTAGATCCCCCTTTGTGTGTACAGTGGTGCCCTGCTTGACGATTACCCCGCTCCACAATGAATCCACTTTACGATGTTTTTGCGATCGCTAAACAATGTTTAAATGGGGAAATTTTGCTTTACAAAAATCGGTTCCCTGCTTTGGAAACCGATTCTTTGCTAAAGGACGATTTTAAAACAGCTGACCACTGGCTCTCAAAATGGCTCCCTACTGTGTTTAGGACGGATTCCTTGCTTAATTTGTTGGCTCTCAGAATGGCTCCCCGCTGTGCAAAATGGCTCCCCGCTGTGTTTAGGACGGATTCCTTGCTTAACAGGCACCGGATAATGGCCGCCCTACAGAGGATCTTCGCTACATGATGAGGTATTTCGCCCATTGGAACGCTAGGCACTGGAAAATGGCCACCTTACGGAGGATCTTCGCTACATGATGCATTTCAATGTTTTTTTTAAATTTTCGCTTGACGACGATTTTTTTTTTAATTTTCGCTTGACGACGATTTCATTCTACAGTGATTTTGCTGGAACGGATTATCATCGTCAAGCGAGGCACCACTGTGTTTCAAAAGATATTGATAATGATGAGCTGTACAGATAATATTTAATTGCCTGGGCGCAAAGAGACAATCCAGTGTAGTGGTAGTGGGGGCAGTTCAATTGCATCTGCTGAATTACTTTAAAAAGTACTTTGGAAAAAATGCAGTTTTTATCTGCAAACATCAGTAAACCATTGCTTTGTCTTTTATGTTCCTCACCAAAGGCTGACATAGCAACTGGGATTCAGCCTCAACTGGCTGGATAGCTTAGGTATCAGGCTGCAGAGCCAGAGGGTGGGAGCTCAGTTCCCCACTTTGTGTCCTAGGAATAGACCTATCCTACGTAATCATCATCGTCACCAGCACCTTAGAACTACAGAGCTGGAAGGGACCCTATGGATCATTAAGTCCAGCCTCTGTCAAGGAGGCATAGTGGAGAATCAAACTCCCAACTTCTGGCTCCACAACCAGATATGTAAGCCACCAGCCTTGGGCAAACTGCACAGTCCCAGGGTATCCCCAGAAGAAGGGACTGGTAAGCCTTGCATTGTATTCTATACCTAGAAAACCCTGAAAAAGGCTCACCATAAGGTAGAATTGATGGCACACTATTATTTATTTATTTATTACTACTACTACTACTATTACTACTACTATTACTATTGTTGTTGTTGTTGTTGTTGTTGTTGTTGTTGTTGTTGTTGTTGTTGTTATTATTATTATTATTATTATTATTATTAAAAACACTAGGCACAATCCATCAAAATTTTAAAAAGCATTGGCAGGCATTATATAACAGATACAAGTTTTAACCAAAAACCTAAGTATCTGTTCAATATCAGCACAGTATATATGTTGTTCCTAATGTTGCCATTTTTGTAGCTCTAATGGTGTCATTTCTGAGAACTGCAATTGCTTATAATAGTGTCTGAAATTTCTTGATATTGTTCCCAAAGCCCCAATGACCACTGAAGTGTATTTCATCCACAAGCAAGATGTTTTGACTCCCAGGTCTCTATATTTTGTTAGTTTTAAAAAATTCTTTATTTTTAACTTTGGGATCCCCTGGAATTGCAGTGCCAATGATCCAGACATTTCTTTGTTCTATTATTACTATGTCTGATGTGTTATGTTCAAGATGTCTATCTCTTTGGATCCAGAAATCCCACAAGATCTTGACACTGTCATTGTCTGAAACTTTCTCTACTTGATGTTCCCATGGGTTTTCGGAGGCTGGCAAGTTATATTTTTTGCATAATAACGAATGCACTAATTTTGCCAATCTATCATGTCTAATTTTGTAATCTGTTTAGCAATACCGATACTACTACTAATAATAATAATAATAAAGCAGCTTGCTGAGTACTGACAGTAAAGAGGGGTACTAGAAAACCAGCCTGTTGCCAAGAGGAATGAGGTGGGAATAGCAAAAACAAACCACAGCATCCAAGTTTGGATGAAGTAGGAAATTTCAGATTGAAGTGTGATTGACAAACTTGGACCCACAAAATAGTTTTTTGATCCAGATTTGTCAATCCAAAACAACCATGCACTACTGAGTTGGTGTGGGTTTTAATGTATGAACAAATAATAGTTTATTAAAATACAGTGGTGCCTCGCACAACGATTGCTTCATACAATGATGAATTCACACAGCGATGGGTTTTTTTGAGGAATTTCCCCCATCGTTTAACGATGTTCTCTATGGGGGAATTTCACTTAACGATGTCCCTTTTTGCTCATTTAAAAGTGTCTTAAAATGTTTGAAACCTGTTTTAAATGCTTGGATTCCATAGTGCACCTTGTGAAACATGTGCAAACTTAATTTGGTTTTGTTCTGAGTCTTCATTAATTTTTGATGATTTTTTTATTTTCCCCATTTAAATCAATTGAATGGACAGTTCAATGCATTTAAATAGGGAAAACAAAAAATCACCAAAAATTAAGGACGACTCAGAACAACACCA